TACGTACGTCGTGTCGTCGTCGGGGGGNGGGGGGGGGAGAGAGAGAGAGGGATCCATTTGCATTGCTACCTTACCCCAACTCAAAAATTTGGAGAAGAACCAAGTGCAGGGCGGGTCCATTAGCGAGCCAGGGTCCATTTGCACTGCTACGTGACGTCTTAGCAAACCTCAGTCTCGTGCGAAAGCAATGAAGTGATGAAGTGATGAAGCAATGGAGTAATGAAGTATTCGGAGTTGATGGAAGTCAATGGGAGTTAATGAGAATTAATGGGAGTTAATGAGAATCAACGGGAGTTGATGAGAACCAATGGGAGTTAATGAGAACCAATGGGAGTTAATGAGAATCAGGGCAATAGTTGACTTTACGAGACTTGAGGCAGCTCATCAAGGTTATCTTCCATACCACCCCCCAGTGCAAGCCTAATGCCTGCAGCTGGTTAGACTTAAAGTTTTCAGAACTTTTGGATAAACGACCCAAGTCACACTTGGGCCACCGTACCTGTCCGTCCTCCACACGGCCCCGGCAGCCAAGCAAACGCACGCACGCCCGCCAGCCCGTAGTGTACGGCAGAAGCGGACAGGGCAGCAGGGGGACAAAAAATCGGCAGCAAAACTTAACGGAGCCACCCCGATCGAGACCTCGAAACCGCAATTCGCATCCGGACCCCGTTGCGCGCCGCATTCGCGACTCCCGAACCTCCACTTGTTTTTACGGCTCCTCCGAAGTCCGAATTCCTCCATCACGACCACCGACCCGTGACGGCCACCCAACTGTGCGCAACAGCTTCGGTCTCCCGATTTGTGTGCGTTGCAATCTTCTTCTTTTTTTGGTCCCGCGAAACATCATCGGCACGCCTAGACTAACCTCAAGACGCCCCGTCGCTGCAGCACCGATTCCTCATCCGCATCACCCTTCTCTTCATCCCGCAAGGTCCCCAGTTCGCCGCCGCATCTCCCGAGCACTTTACTCCGGACGGACCAAGCCATACTAGCCAATCGACCCGACGACTTACGCGACGACGGCCGACCTCTCTCTTTATAACCCACCACCCAGTACATACCCTCTTTCTCTCTTCAGCAACACAAAGTCCCACACGGGCATCATCAACCTTCAAAATGGGCATCCAACAAATCACCAACATGTGCTCGCACCTCCAAAACGCCTCGCGCGCTCGCCTGGGCCTGACCTCCCTGCCTAACACCAAGTACAACCTCGCCCTCGCCCTGGCCCTGCACCGCGCAGGCTTCATCTCCTCCCTCACGCGGGGCGGCCCCCACCCGCCCACGCCCGAGGCCCTCATGACCTACGAGCCCGAGCCCGTGACCAGTGCCAACGTGGCCACGCGCCGGTTGTGGGTGGGACTTAAATACTGGAACGAGGAACCCGTCTTGAAGGAGCTGAAGCCGATTTCGAAGCCGTCGAGGCTGGTGACTGCCTCCCTGGAAGAGCTGAACCGTGTGGCAAGGGGCTTTCCCGCAGGATACATGAAGGGGTTGCAGTTGGGCGAGTGTTTGTTTGTGAACACTGATAGAGGTGTGTTGGAGGTTAGAGAGGCAGTGGAGAGGAAAGTTGGTGGGTTGGTTTTGTGCAAGGTAAAATAGATGGAAAGAAGAAGAAGGAGGGTCTCAAGGATGGACAACTGGGATAGGACATGGATTTGGGGAAAGGAAGGCATTGTTGGGAAGGAAGGGAGAGGAATAGAAGGGGAGGAGGAAGAGTCACCGCACTTTGGGAGGATCCCAAACCTGAAATGGAGCCAACCATTTCTGTGCGCAGTGTACGATACGGATGTGATTCCACTGTACACTAGACGACTAAGCAAGACTGGACAAACATGAAAAGGAATAGACATTGGCAAAGCAGAGCTCATCCTTGGTTCTTGCCATGCGAATATGAGGTATGAGGCCAAGAAAGACAACGAGTTGGCATCCTGTATGCTTTTATATATGCATGATTAAAAAAAAAAAAAAAACAAAGGCACTCACTGTGGAAACAAATATCACGAATCCTGATAAGGAAATGATTCAATTCATCCTGCTCCAGGTTGCTGTGCAACCCATTATCTGCTATGCATTCATACTTCATGCGTCGCCAGCTTCTTACAAATGTGTAATTGGTCTTTCTACAAAGGTATCATGAAACGTGCTAACCCAGTAACACTGCATCCCCCTCTTTCACTGTCTCGAACAAATAATAGGGGGGTGATTAAAAAAGACTCTACAGGCCAAAAAGCGATCACATCCACCATTTCTGGCTTCCTTTTACGAATTAAGAAGTGTGCTTAAATTCCGAAGTGCTGGCAGACTTCTCCTCACCGTGCTCCTAAATGTCAGCATTGGTGGTATCAACAACCTCGGCAGCAGACGAGGCGGCAGCTTCAGTCTCCTGGGCTGGCATCTCCTCCTTAACATCATGAACGTCAGAAGTGGGGGTTTGGGGAGCACCGGCAGCCTCCGCGTCCGACGGTGGTACCGAGACCTCCTGGGTAGCTTCGGTGGCTTTCTCTACCGGCTGAGCCACTTCTTGGGGAGTCTCAGTCACAGTGGGGAGGGGCACATCAACAGCTTCTTCTGCCTTGGGAACCGGCTCAGCCTTGGCCGCAGCTGAACCAGAACGAGACTGTTTCGGTGTCGTAGCCGCTGATGGTGCTGCAGATTTAGTGGCAGGTTTTTTGGTCCGTGGCTTGCTGAGACTTCTCTTCGCGGCAGGTCCGGGGGTGGCCGACGACCTCCTGGGTGGGGATGTGACAACCTTCTCAGCGGTTTTAGAGGCGGATGCCGCGGTTGGACGCGTCATGCGTGCCAAAAAACCTTCGTCCACTTCCTTCTCCTTCTTCGTTGGCGGATGATCCTTCGCAGTCTGCTTCACAGGCACACCTAGACTAGGGCGAGGCCGGTTCTTGGTCGAGTTCTGTCTCTTGAGGGTCGAGGTAGCCGTTTTCGGTGCCGACATAGTAGAGGATGGCACTCTCGCTCTGCTAGAGGAACGGCTAGCCGGGGTAGGACCTCGCTCGCGAGTCTGCGACTGGGCGCGCGCATTGCCGAGCTTGGAACCAGAAGCAGCCGTATGAGTGGTAAGGCGTTCTGGGAGAGCAGCTGGGCGTGTAGGTGACTTGGCCTTGGGCTTCGAGCTTCCGGTGATGACAGGAGATGGGGCCAAGGACGCTGGCTTTTTGTTGAGCGAGGAACCAAGAGATTTCGTGGTCTTTGCCGCCGAAGGCTTCGGGGTAGCGGTCTTGCCCGGAGTCTGACTGGATGCGGTCGTAGGGCTTTTCGCCTTGGGGGTTTCAGCAGTGATGGGGGATTTGGCAGGCTTAGCTACTGTCTTGTTGGCCGAAGACGTTGAAAGAGGTGGGAGGTTCGATTTTGTTGTTGTTTTCGGGACGGTCCGCGCCGCCGGCTTGCTGGGATCTGTCTCTTTGTCTTTGCCAGCCCCGGCTCCATTGGGTGCCTGCGTCTTCTCTGGTAACTTGGAGTCACTCTCCGTCGTAGACGAGCCGGTAGCCCCATCTAGCTCCAACCTCTTGGGCTCCGCCGATGCGCTAGCCGAAGATTCTACATTCTGTGCTCGTGGTTCTTGAGCAGAGTGTATCGGACTCTGAGCATTCTGGTTCGCTTTTGGAGACTCGGCCGGTATACGGTTCGCCTCGGGACTCGCCGGTGCTGGTGTTTTCTCCATAATCTGGTCAACGGCATTGGCTTTTTCTGATGGAGCAAGAGGACTGGTGATGTCGCCTGGGCCGGCTGGAGCTTGTTGTGTGGGTGTCTCGGAGTCGTTGCTGCCTTCCCGTTGAAGCCCGAGTCTTCCACCTTTCTCAACCGCGATGAAGCTCGTTTTGATCTTGTTCAAAGGCCTAGGAGAATCGGCTAGAGGTTGAAAGAGACACTAGCTATTAGTCCGGTCCATGCATAGTGTGATGTTGTGGTTGATAACAACACCCAAGATGACCAGTGCAGTTGGAGAAGAGGCAAACAGCGAGGTGATGGAAATGGCGACAATTGGAAGTGAAAGATGGCGGAACAGAAGACTGCTTACTTGGAGAGATGACTGGCGACCTGCCACGATCCGGGGGACTCGTCTCCCCCTTCTGCTCGAACATAGCCCGAAGGTTCTTAACCGCGCTCATGGCTGCTGACTTTTTCGAGCTCGAGCAAGACCTAGGGAAGTTGAGAAGCGTCGGGCCACGAGGTGATGATGAGAGTATGTTGTGGCAAGGTGGCAGGAGCGGTTGATTCTGGTGATTTTTGTAGCCGACAGTCCAAGTCGACTCGGAGAGAAGAAGGATCTGACTGTTTGTTTAAAGGAAGTCGAGGATCGTGGTCGCGTCCGGGAAGGAGAGATCGGGGCAAACGGGCGTGCCTCCTTTAAGCCCCTGGACCCTGCGCAAGGGGTCTTCGTGTTGTAACAGACTCGAAGCGGCTTCCCCACGCGCCACTATAAGGAGGAGCTACGATCCTGACCCGAGGAACAGGGACTCTGGAGGGAAGCGATGCGCGCGTGGAGCTGGCGACGCTATGACGAGAAATCGGGAGAGCTGTTTGCTTGTAGGGATGTCCGTAGAACGTGTCGCGGATAACTGTAGCGCAGAAGTTGGGGGAGTGTAAGCGACACTTGGCGCGATATATGTAGATGGATGATGATGGACAACAAAGAACAGAACGATGAGGGATAGACCTAAGGTGTAGGTAGAGGTAGTGTGGTCAGAGAAAGAGACAGGCAACTATCGCAAATTCCCCAGATTTACGTGGTGCCACCGGGCAGTCGAGGGTTTACACTACAAGTGACGGCCGGGGCGCGTTTAATGAGCAAATGCTTTAAAAAGTACGGCTACTTCAGGCGAGCGGAGTCGCATTGCAATAGGTAGCGTATGCGGCGCTGGGTCTTCTGATGCAGACAAGGGAAGTGCACTTCGCTGCAGGTCCAGAACAGGGAGTCATTCCCGTCTGTCAACAGTACACTCGGCTACCTCAGTCAGTCTACACACGAGCTTCGGATGCATCAGCGTGGCAGGACAGGATGGGATCGCCTTCACTTCTGTTTGGATATGTAGGCCTTGACTTTCTTTTGCTGAGGGGTCTTTGGATCAGAATAGGAATCCCGTTATAGCCACTGCCCAGGCGGCACGAACCAACCAATCCGAGACTATTTCCACACATTTGCCATTGAGGCTATCGTAATGGAGAAGAAAACTCTTCCAACAGACTGGCACGTTCACGATGAGGTGCCACAGAAGCTGAAGGCTGAGTGTTGGCCTAGGCTCTTGCATGAAGCCATTGGCTATCACAAACAGTCTAAATTAAGGAGCTTTTTGGGGGGTTGTTAGTGCTAGCCGGTGTTGGTGGTTGTGAGGTTGTGATTGGAAAGTCCATTTCAAGGGCACACATGTCAAGCTTTTACAAGACTTCCATCTTTCAGTCTGGCTGCCTTCCTTTCAGTCGATTGTCGTACAATCCTCGATGTTCACCATATGCCGGCTTGACACAGGCACGCAAACCTACTTACATCCACGGACATCTATCTTCCTCTCTGGATTGTACATCCCGCTCCTGTTGTATGTGGCCGGCGGATAGCTCTCCGTGACAAACGCTTGGCGCCCTTCAACCCGATTTCACGATGTTTCAAGTCAGTGTTTCGCATTGGAGGTGCCCCTGGCGCAATAAACGATGGAACCTATCGGATACTGGAGGTAACCGGGGTGCCAGCCCAGTACCTTACGTAAGCTGGCATCCCTGGCAACCTTCTGATACTAGATTTTCTGTGTGAGGGATTAACCTAATATAGAGATTTATACAATATACAATCTGTACCCTCTATTGAATTAAGACCCCTATTTGTGCTCGTATTCTATAATTAAGAGTCTTATATATAATAATTACCAATTGAAGTAACCCGGGTAGATATAGTATAACAATTACTTACCGAAGTAAATAAAGTAACGCAATACAATAATATCTATCGATCTTAAGACTATTAGTAAAGTTATTTTTAATAAATCCGAAGATTAGTATCTTTGGGAGAAGGAATTTCAAAAATAAGGCTTTTAATAAGGAATTCTAGTCTTTTATTAACCTAGATTTCGAAAAGCGAATCCCCTAGCCTACTACTCTTATTAAGCCATTAGTTATTAACTTCCAAAAACCGGTCATCCTTAAGGATATTTAAGTTCAATAATAGATTTTTAATACTATAGAAGTAAATAACGGCCCTCTAATAGATAATACCCGGCTATCTTAAGCTACCCAGTCGACTACGGTCCCGGTTTAGACTCTAGCGTCTACTTAAATTCCTACCGGTCTACCCGTAAAAGTATTTTTTACTGCTAAGCGTTTAGGCTTTACGTTTGAATCCGACTTCTATAATTATAAAATTGCCTTAGCCGATTACTATTACGAGAAAAAAAATTAGAATAAATTTATTACTAATATTAATAATGTTAAAAATTAAATAAAGAAATATACTATTAAGAAGCTTTACTTAACTTACTTCTTAGAAATTAAGACTATTACCATCTAATATAATAAGTTATATATATTAATTAATTATAACCTAGTAAGAGTTAGAAATAACGCTTGTACTAAATATTAGGAAAAAGTCTATTTTACCTATACTCTAAAGAGTTAGACTATTTAATTTAAAGAGTAGGAGGGGGTTATAACTATTAATTAATACTATAACATCGATGAATATATTAATTTAGAGAATTAGTATTAAAATTTCTTCAATATAATAAATAAATTCCCTAGGTCCCTATTTACTATTTAGACTATAGTATATTATTAAATTAAAGATAATAAATTTTATACTTTTATAGATATAGCCTAGGAATTTAAGTAAGCGGTTCTTAAAGCGTTTCTATTAAATAAGGGTCGTTCTTAAATTTATAAGGGTAGTACGTTCGGAATAGTAACTATATATACTAAATTTAGTAGGGACGCTCTTAGTAACCCCTAG